AAATGGGTCTCCGGTTCTCTACACTCACCATACGAAACACAGCAGCATTAAGCTGCTATTTTACGCTGGTATTTTGTGAGAGCGTGGTACTTCCCCGGTCGAGCTGACCCATTCGTGCTACAACTACACTATTAATATAGCTGCACCATGGCTCTACCAAATCTATATTCTAATAATTCTAATATTACATCCCACCCACATAACGTTGCAACCAAATAGAGATTATAAATATTATAATATCAATTTTACAAATTGCCATATACATACGCCATCATGTATCTTCTATTTTATCTAAAAAATAATTTTTAAGCTTCTTTTTATTTGTAAATTTACACTCAGGTCTACCTTGCCTTACCCAGTCTATTTCATTAAAAAGCTTTGGTATTAAATATTTTGTACATCTTTTACCATAGTAGTTTTTAACACTAGGCTGAACTAATTTCTCTTCTCTAACTTTCCTGGTTTTATATTTATTATCCACTTTTACTTTATAATGATTTTTATTAATGTTTTCCAAAAATAATAACATGTTAACTTTGTGTTCTACCGGTAAAATTTTACAAATAGAGAATAACTTATTATAATCTTTCTTACAATTTTCTTTAAATTTTTCATTTACAAGATATTTTAGAAGTCTTGTCTGTAAATTTTTAATGTTCTTTATATAAGAAGCAAAAGTGCGACCGTACAAAGTTTTAGAGCAATCTAATGAACGCTATGGCAGCGCAGAAAATATGAATAAACAAAAATTAAATTTTATATATTAGATTTTCGTATAATATATAATTATATCTATATATATATATATATATATATATATACACTATACTGTGTATTGTATTGTATACTAAGGACGTATATACATGACATCTATGTATATACATCCTTTGTAACTGATGCTAATGTGAGAATGCCTTCTCCGCCTTTCTGATCCTGTACTGTTGTAAGGTTCAAAGATTAAATAAATAAATAAAATATCTTCTTGGGTACTTTTCAGTATTGGTATATTTACGTGGTAAATAAATATATTTTGCGTGGGACTGAAGCACTGTCGCGGCGCGTGGCACGTGGGAGTGCTAAAGGCCTCCCACTCAAGGCTTTATATAAAATTTATTTCGCTATTAAAACAGCTTATTTCTTTTATATATATTCTTTTATATATATGACGTTCCGTATAAGATGGGAACTTATTAAGGATATGATTTAAGAATTCAGGCTATGCATAGGGAATTTAATTTAAAAGAATTCAAAAACATTAGCATCACCATTAAAATAAACTATTCTCACTGATTGTATCGTATTTACTGACCCTTTTACGGTAAAGAGAAAAATAGATGTAAGTATGAATGAACCACAGCATATTCACTTGTGTTACATTCACACTGTTGCCTTGAAATCAGCACCCATGATTGGTTTCTTTGGGCTCACTGTGGTTGACCACCGATCGTAAGAAAGACAGCACAATTGCAGGCTTTGAAGTAAATCACTTCAGTCTCCATGGACGCAGCTGTAACGTTCTTTTGTTTGGAGTTAACTGCAGGTCTCCATGAACTGCAGCTGTCACTTGTAATTAAGTAGTTTAACGGGCTCGTCTGTGTGAGAACTAATAAAGCGCTCTCCATTGTTATTAAATTCTTACTAAAGGCCTCTAGATTAAAAACTAAAATCACTTCGTTTAGTAAGTTATAAAATGTTCTTAATTCATTTATTCACACAAGAAATTTCATACTGTATCGTGCAGGCGTTTATATATATAAGACTGACAGATATTTGTAGGTCATACAAATATTTTTTTTTGTTTTTTTTTTCTTAAATACGTTACCCCCACTCTAGGATTTTCTCCTGTATCGTGGGGGCAGTTTACATACATAAATTTCACAAGGACAAACACCCAGACCCGGAACAATTATTTGTGGGCGATACAAATACTTGTTCCGTGCGGGATTTGAACCCGCGGCACACAGCGCAACAACTATTGCTAAGCCACAGCGCAACGGAGCCGTCAATGTAATAATTGTTTCGTACAGGAGTCGAATCTGCGGCCCGCAACGTTGGAGCCTAATGCTAATCCACTATGTTACCGAGGCGTGTAGGCACACCTACCGTGACCGTGACAGCCTATCAAAAGTCCACTGTTGAACACAGACCTCCTCCATACATAGCCTAATAGGAGGAAATTTTTAGTTGTTATTAGAAAGACGCTGTTACCTATCTCCTGGTTTTCTTTCTCTTTCTGTTTCTCTCTTTCGCCTCTTACGACACCCACGCGACGATATGGGGTAATTCGTACACCGCCTCTACACTGTAAACACCTACATATGTCCTTAATTAACAATCAAAATGTAAATGCGTTGTTACCCCTTAGAACTACAATGAAATGTCTTGTTATTATTAGACACAACGAGGCATTCCATCTTATCCCTCAAGTATGTGAGTCCAAGTTTCGCATAGTGGTGATTACACATTTACATACAGAATAAGCACCATGCTGCTGTTTCACGCTAGTATTCCGTGCAGGCGTGGTCCATCCCATGCAGGAAGTCGATGGATGCGGGTGGCTCAGGACCGTGCTTTTTGGCATTCCTTGGCGGAGGCCTATGTTCAGCAATGGACTTGCGAAGGGCTGTAATGATGCTGATGATGATGTGGTCCATCCCAAAGCAGACTTTTTCATGTTGCATAATTCACTACAGCATAGCTCCCCTACGTATAAGTTAAGTTATCAGTTTTTGGTTATGATCTCACCAAGCATAGCTTCTGACGGTTTCAATGTTCAGCAGTGAGCTGTAACAGAGCCCATGGTAGATAAGTGCTTGCAGTAAACACGGTACGCTTGCAACTCGAGTTTGATCCTTGTAAAGGTTTTTTTTATATAGAATAGGGTGACAAACGAGCACACAGTCCACCTGATGGTAAGTGGTTGCTGTAGCCCATATACATCTACATCTATCCTCGTTTGTGAATCAAAATGCAGATGCGTTGTCACCCGTGAGGACTAATATGGAATGCCTCTTTTCCAGTAAAAACGGTCTCCGATTCTCTAGACACTATACGAAACACAGCAGTGTTAAGCTGCTATTTTACGCTGGTATTCTGTGAGAGCGTGGTCCTTCCCCAGTCGAGCCGAACAATTTGTGCTACAACTATACAACTAATATAGGTGCAACATGGCTCTACCACGTAAAAAACTTGACAATATAAGCTTGAATTGCATTTCTTGTATTCATTTTTATTATTAAAAAAATTTAAATACTGATAAGATGGAAGGTATACGCGCTGGTATTATCCGTAAGAATGTAATCTTCGATGAGATATTTTGAAAAAGCTAATACGTCTTAGGTTACGTTTATCGATATATTTAAGTATACAGTAGGAATGGGTTAACAAAGGTGAAGGAAACAGGGGTATACGGCTGATAATAATGATCTTAAGTGCTGATTAACCACGTTAACAGCGGTGAAGGAAGACATCGTGAGGAAACCTGAATGTTTGAAAAATAAAATATTCTCACATAAGTCGTAGGTCGGTCCATACGCACCGGAGAAACGTGTCACTTTAATTTTATAATACCCTCAGAAATAAGGGAAGGCCTGTACCCAGTTGTGGATGCATATAGATTATAACTTTATTAACTAAATTAATTTATTGTTCCGGCATCACTAATATAGTTAATTGGAATTTAAGCGCCGTTTTACGGTGTAAAAAAAATAGAATATTTCGAAGTCCCTCTTACCTATTTCATCTGGACCTGGTGAGACATGCAGGAATCGATGAATAGAATATAATAGAATAGAATCATTTCTATTCGATATAGATTACAAGAATACTTACTAAAAGTAATTTATTTACTTTCAGCTCTGCTTCGGACAAAACCTTTGTCCTAAGAAGAATTAGCTTGAACCCCAGCCAGCCTTTTTTTTTAAGAAAATCAATTTATAATAAATTATTTTATACATCAAAGAGGCTCAGAACCTTGTTCTTATTGTATTCATAGGAGACTAATTATATTCTTCATATTAGCAGTGGACGAATTAGAAGTTACGAAAAATACGTAGTAATATGTCAAATGTTCGATTATCCCCGACTGAATGCATTTCTTCGACGTAAAATTTGTTTAGACCAACAAATCTACGTTTCTTACTATCTAGAATGTATATTACACACTTATGTACCGATCCCTAAATTCGGTAGTAAGTGCGGTTCGGGTGGGGGTGACCCGTTTCCCGCGTATTGACCAGGCTCCACCGACCCGATTTCAGCCCCGTTTACCTTACGACCTTTGCAACGCGCCTGCGCCGAGTAGAACCCCTGAAAGCCTTGTCGGTACTTTCAGTCTGGCTCCAACCCGGTTGGAGAGGTGGCACCAGCTTCTAAAGCTGCAAAATAGCTTTTAAAACTCTAGTACCCCTTTCATATATGTTAAACATATATAAAAATTCCACAATTCGCGAACATAGTTCGGTATCTCATTGTTTCGTCAACGATCCCTTTTCCCACATAGTCATTTGTTTCTCCACAAAAAATATATCATATAAGTAGTGACTAATATAACTCAAACTATTTATCTTATATATAACTGTATATTTGTATTTAAGTATATCATCTTAAAGCGACTGTTCATATAAGGTTGGTATCTATGTATTTATGTTCTGTATGTTGTTTTTTAGATTTTTCTAGATTTACATTTATGTTTATCATATATTCTCGTGCATTTTACTTTATATAAGTAGATATATATATTTTATATATATGTGCATCTGATCCGAAACTATCGATTTTTGCCCTTGCATTCGCGGTACATCTGCGCTCGAAACCCTTTGTTACAATTTTTTCGTATCCTAAATTAATAGATTATTTTTGTTTGACCTAAGCTCTTATTAAATCAGCTCTAGCCGTTCTAAATCAATTAATTTTTCAAATGAACAGACAATTATCTGTTAAATTAACATATATTTTTTCTTTTTACAGACTAGAAATAACCAAACTAGAAGTTAGCAAAAATGTCAAAACTAACTCTGGACGGCTTTTTTTCGTACTGCAAGCAAATTGCTGAACATATCCAGTTGGTTCGTTCACAAATCCATTTTAGTCGCCATTTTTTCTGGCGCCATCTTGGTAGCCATATTGATTTTTCGCTTCATTCTTCTTTGTTCTGCATGATCGCTTAGCTTTGTTTTTATTAATTAATATCACTGCTAAGACAAATGTCTTTTCGTTAGTTTTATTGTCTTAAAGTTTATTGATTTGTTGTTTTCTATATAATTGAATTAAAATAAGTAAGAAACGCCTCGCTTTTCTTATGTTTTGCCTATTTAAGGACTAAAATTAAAAATAATTTTGCTAGAAGTAATTAAAATGAAGTTATAGGTTACATTCTTCCCACGGCTGGGTACAGACCTCTTCTCATTTCTAAAACAATTATGAAGCAATTAGGTCAGCGCATTGCTACAATGCGTGTTGATTTGTTGACGTTGAAATATTTTATTCCTCAGATATGTAGGTTTTCTCACGATGTTTTTCTTCACCGCCGAGCACGTGGTAATTTAGCACTTACAATTACAATTTCATTGAAGCCGTCGGGGATCAAACCCTGAACTACCACAGCTCTTAAATATCTTTACCAACATTTAAATGACAAGGTTTAAAAAAGAGGATTATTCTCCGTTTTATTAAATGTATTTAACGATGGCAGTTTTAATTTTTAAATATATCTACAGTTGGCAATTTATATACTTATTGGTATCAAGTTATAAGGAAAAATATGGTTTAATTGTTCGGTTTTGAATGCTTATCTAAAATAGATGCGAACGCAGATGTTCCACTATATAAATATATAAAATATTCAGTAGTCATTAATTTTTGTACAAATAAAACAGTATTTATATTATAACGTGTTGTGGAATGTCAAATAATACATTTTTTTTCTGTACAGGGAGAGAGAATGGCATCGCTGTCCGGCCAAGGCACTCCTAAGCTGACCTCAGCTGTCGGCAATTTGTATTATGACTGTAAGTATAACGTAGCATATTTTAATTATACTAATAAATACCTATACGCTCCATTCATTCATTCATTACAGCCTAACAAAAGTCCAGTGCTGTACATAAGCCTCTCATATATATTGGCACCACTGGGGGTACATTTTTCATAATTTCCAGGCTAGGCAAGGTGATTGGCAACAGCAGAGTATAATTATTATTGAATTGTCATAACGAAGATGCCACTGCTCATTCCCTGTTTATTTCTCTTTGTCGTCTTTTGCGATATACAAGGCATTGTGTGTGGTATGGGGTAGTAGATTTATCGATGTGTGTAGTGGCGCTGTAATATAATCCACTATAAGAATATAAGCTTCATATATAATAAAATTTAGTGTGTTAGTGTGAGTTCTATTCGGTCTACTTTGCTGTCACCTTTCCACTTCGTGATGGTTTTTTTTTAAATATACAGAAATAATTTTAAAAAAACTTAATCAGGTATTTACTATGCAATTAGGCACCAAATAAAAAAAATTTAAAGACGATTTCATCATTTCTTGTCTACTAATGGGCATCTATTTAAGACAATAGAAACAGATTCTATTAACCTCAACCTCAAAACGTATAACGAAACTATTAGAAAATCGTCCAAAATGGGAATTAAAAAACTGTATTTCATCCAAGCATATTAGATTTCAATCCACCCTCTTGTAACATTTCACGCACGCGCGCGTAATTTCCTGCCGCGGACGGGATGCCATCTACAGGAAGTTGCGATAAACTTAACGACTGACAGTGTGTAACATGACACTTCACTCCATAACTGTACTTATAACTAAAATATGATTTGGAATATTGCTGCAGTTACGAAAATACTATAACCGTGAGGCAGTTATGCATTTTACTTACTACTCTAAAAATTCGTAAACCCATGCCGTTTAACTCTACCGTAGAAAATAGAAGAAGAAAAAAAGATGTAACCAAAACTATATTGTTTAAATTTGTAATTTTAAAGAAATAAAAGCATTTATTATTATTATTATTATTTACTAGCTGTTCTCCGCGACTTCGCCCGCGTGTAATTTAGGTTTTTAATTTTTTGCACGGAACCCTAATTCTTTTTCTAAAACAAAATTAGCCTAAGTTACTTCTTATAACATCAGCTCTGCCAGTGAAAGTCCTATCAAAATCGGTCCAGCCGTTTCGGAGATTAGCCGGAACAAACAGACAGACAGACCGACAGACAGACAAAAATTTAAAAAATTGTGATTTTGTTATAAGTATCATATATGCTCTCATACTATATATACTTGCATTTAGTGAAAAGCTGTTATTTTGACGTTACAAACGGACACTCCAATTTTATTTGTTTGTATAGATAATAGATTAAGGTATACATTTAAATTGAACTCAAATTAAATTAAATTTAGCTAAAACTAGATTTTTTTAAGTAATTTCATAAATTTTACAATAAATTACATAACAAAAGGGGGCAATAATCAGATACAAAATGTAAAAAAAACTTAAAGTTCTTTCTGGTGTATGTCAGTGCTCTGAGGAATTTTTCGGATTAATCCCAGACGCCAAATTTCACGAACGCACATCTAGAACAAAACTCAAGATACCAACCACACCATCTGGATGCTTGGCAGTTTACCACTGTGAGTTTTAATCCTCGTACGTACTCTTTGTGGAATCGTTTACCACCGGCAATTTTTCTGGACCGATACGTCTTAGGGACTTTCAAGAAAAGAGCTTACTCCTTTCTAAAAGGCCGGCAACGCACCTGAAATTCATTTGGTGTTGCAGTTGTTCATGACTGGCGGTAGTCACTTACCATCAAGTGAACCGCATGCTCGTTTGCACACATTTCTATTTAAACTATTACAGATTATTAGAGAACTCTTTTAATAATAAGCATCCCAAAGAACCAAATGGATAATTAATTAATTATTAATTTTTTTAAGAACATTCCATCTCTTTACGTCAAAAAGTTACTTCTTCATCATCATTATTTCAGCCCATCACAAGTCTGTGTGAACTTGTGATGGGCTGAAATGTGTGAACATAGGCCTTTTCCATAGATTGTCACAAAGCACGGTCTCGAGCCCAAACGCGGCGACAAACGTTAGTACAAAGTATGAAAATGGATTGTGTGAAAGAGACGTTAGTATAATTATTGTCCACAATATATCTGCGTTAATTTTCATTTTTTTAATGACCTTAGAATGACAATTTCTATTTCTAATTTTAACATATTTCATCTAAGTAAGGATGACAAACGAGCACACAGTTCACCCAATGGTAAGTAGATGCCACATTCGATGAGTAAGAATCTATATGCGTTTTCAACCCTGAGGAGTAAGATGGAATGTCTCGATATAATAATGTCCTGCATACTAAATTTCGGTAACGGCAGCCAGCCTCAACGGAGACTAGCCATCGGTGCAGGACAGGATTATAGTGCTTAAGTGTATGTGCAAGCACAGGTGCTCTCTCTATTTCCTTACTCTCATAGTTCGATGGGACGGTAAACCGACACGACCGGAGGGAATCAGGCGCAGGACCAACGACTTTACGTGCTTTCTGAGGCACGGGTGTAAGACACAGCCAATTTCCTGACTGCGGCAGCTTCTGTGAATTTCTTGACGGAAAATCTCAATAATTGATTTTTTTGACCCTGGATCTTCATGATCATTAGTCGCTACAACCACTCGACCAACAACACAGTTTCTATATATTGTTACTTCATGCTGGTACTCTGTACAAGTGTGATCCTTTCGGGGTGGTGCAAATATCGTTCTGTAGCAATTATACGCTGCAGATTTTTTTATTAATGTGACAAAGGAATTTACTTTCCACCTAGAAAGTGGAAAAACACTTTAAGTGAAGAACGCTACAGAAGCGTTGTCCTCTCTGACAAAGAATATATTTATTTATTTATTTAATACCCGACTGCCAAGGAAGGGTCATGTTTTTCGCGCGTATATGTTTGTAAATATCCTTATTACCTCGTATCTTCCAAAGGGATGGATGGATTTCAACAATTAAGGTATCGTTTTATTCATCTTGAAAACCAAAGTGTTGTTAGATAGCTGTTTGAAGAAAAAACAAACAAAATGGCGGATTTTTGGCACAAAATAATATGTTAATAGAAAAAAATTAACCAAATCTATCGAGTAGGGTATCAAAATAAAGGAAATTAAAAGGGAATTACAAATATATATATAAGTTATATGTTTAAATTTAATTAGGAATAATAAATTGGTTTAAAAAGTTATTGTTAGCGTAAAAATGGGTCATGTTTGTGTCGGATCTCGTGCTATCATATGAAATTTAGTCCATAAGAGTGTGTAGGACACTAAAAAGTCTACAATAAAATAAATAATTTAAAAAAGTAATGCACTAACAAGACCGAAACAAGATTGAGAATAGAAAACAAAATTAAAATAAACTATGAACAAAATAAACTCTACTTCGGTTTAACAGACTATATTATGAGCTGAGAGCCTAAGTTAAATACATGCTTTAAGTTTATTAGCAGGCGAGACCCAATTGCAAATTATAAACCGAAAGAAAATTAATGACTAAGATTTATTGCCTAACAAGCTTTAATACGTGGTAGAGCCATGCTGCAGCTATATTAGTAGTATAGTTGTAGCACGAATGGGTTGGCTCGTCCGGGGAAGGACCACGCTCTTACAGAATACCAGCGTAAAATAGCAGCTTATCACTGCTGTGTTTCGTGTAGTGAGTGTAGAGAACCGGAGACCCTTTTTACTGGAAAAGAGGCATTCCATCTTAGTCCTCACGGGTAAAAACGTATCCGCATTTTGATTTTTCATTGAGGATAGATATAGAAGTCTATGGGTCACAGCAACCACTTACCATAATTTCGACTGTGTGCTCGTTTGTCACCATAATAATATAAAAAGATAACATGACTGTAAGCTTGTTTACCATATCTAGCTTAGACACTAAAACCACAGCCCCAAAATTAAAGTGCTTTAGACTGTTTTAAAGTTACGAATACTGACTATAAAGTATTGATTACTCTGTGGTTCGCTTTATACTGCTATGGTTTTGTCCCTCGTGTAATTAATTATGAGGGATTGACAGATTTAAGTGCGGTTTTAAAGTGATTAATTACTTTGTTTTTAGCGTAGTACAGGGTTAAGTATATTGTTCTTTTTGATATCTAAGGACAGGCATTAATGTCTGGTTTCTAAGCAAAGCTAAGATTTCAAATTCTTTATTATTAAAAAAGAATCAATGAACGAATTTAGTTTTTGCTTAAATATGTCTACAGTCTGTTCACTAACATAGTGTCGTACACCCAGAGGCGCAATTATTTTTATGCATTCCTTTTTATTATTTTTTATTGCGTTTGTTAAATAAATGTTTTTCTATTATGTTCTAAAATAGTATTCTGTTTTATTCTTAGAATATAAAACATTTATTTAAAAAAACAATTAAAGATAATAATATAGAAACAAAATAATAAGTGCGGCTCAGGGTGTACCGACACTTAGTGAACAGACTGTACACATAATTTAAATCCTATACCATACCTTGTACTCATTACTGCTAACATTATAGAACAAAATAAAAAATATGAGTGTATAATTAAGAGTGTAAATTGTAGATATGAAAAAAAAATTCCGTCTTATTAGCAAACTGGAAGAACTCTCTTGTAATCCTTGTTTTAAGGTTTGATAAAACCCATTGCCCTAGATCGACATCCAAAAGGAATTCCTAACAGTTATTTTATTAGTTTTTGTTTATTTAATTGTTTAGTGCAGTTAGTGTAATATGCGTATAACATTATCATCATCATTAATACAGTCCTTCTCAAGTCCACTTTAACACAGGCCTTCCCCAAGGAACGCCACAAAGCACGGTCCCGTGCCACCTGCATCGCTGCTCAGCTGAATTATAAATCCGTCGGTTGCCCTCTCGGTTGAAGTTAGACTTACCTAGTCGGAATATTTGTGGTCCCAACAACTAACGACACTTTTGTTTTGTCCATG